GGGTTGGAGCGTATTCACCATCTTTTACACAGCTGATTACCTGCAAGTGGAGGTCCAAGACTCAGTGGTATCGCCATAGTTCCAAACATGTTTCCCACTGCTTGAGAAAGCTTATCGCGTCCGACCACATCAGCCGTTATCACCGCCACTTGGCCCACAAAACATCCGTCAAAAAATCCAAATATTAAAGCATAACCCACAAGTCCTGCATAGTTTTTGACCAGAGGACACAAGAGAGTGGTCACTCCAATGCAAAATATCGAAAATTGGTATAGGTAGAGCCTGTTGACGAATTTCAAGTCAGAAATCTTGCCAAATACCACTCGACCAAGCGTTGAGGTGATGGATAGAAAACCAACCAGCCAAGCGCCTTTAGATTTTGGAACTCCCAAATCTTCGGCATACCTCACCTGCAGATAAAAACGAAACGAATAAAGGTGATAAGATTCTACAAAGAACTGTGGTGTCGAGTCGGTGGAGGGAATTTTAAAATAATTTTGTTTATGATCAATGATCAACTGAGTGGATAACGTAAATTGTCCAGCGAAGAGAGTTTCTAAGGCTAGAGTTTTGAGCGGTGGCCCTTAATTCTTCATAAGGCATACGCTTTTAACGTCAGCTTTAGAATTTATCCGCCTAACTTATATTTAAACGATGATTTTCTTATGAGATCCCGAACGGCGGTCTATAAGCTATTTATGCGTTTTTCATTGACCAATCAGGAATGAGAAGTTTTGTTGAGTATCAAACACACAACGATACAACTTACCAGGTGAATAAATGGAACAAGATAACCAAATTGAAACACAGCTACAGTAGTAACCCACAAAACGTACGCTTTACTCTTCCATATTGAAGTATCAAATAACTTGGTACATTCTCTCCTCTGCCTGGTAGATTGAAGATTTTCCTTTGGTTTAAAGATCAAAGTTGCAATCCATAAAAGTCCAGCAAACGCACTCAAAATGCGCATGGAGTGTTTCCATCCGACAGATGCCAGTAGGTAATTTATGACCGGCCCGGTAACAAGAGAGCCTACGCCACCTCCACATGATGCAATCCCATTGGCAAGCGCCAATCGTCTATCAAAGTATTCACCCAGGACAACGATAGACGACACATAGGAGAAACTAGAACCCACTCCCCATACAAGTCCGTAGGTCACATACATTTTAGGAGCTTCTTGTATGAAGGAGGTTAGGAACAACCCTGAGACGGATAGTAACGCACCAGCAAAGGACACAACACGGCAACCAAGACGATCACACAATGCACTTGATATAGGACCAAAAAAGAAGTTCAAACCCATGGCCATGGCGCCAATCCACGCTGTGAAAAGAAATCAATAATATGATCTCCATGTATAAAGAAACATGTCATTCTTTTTGTCACGGGCGTGAAGCAGAGGCAAATTTGTTAAATGCGGCAACGACTGTTTTACATCCATGTATAGTTGCCAGTTATTAACAGAGAGCATCATTTTGAAGAAAAAAACAAGGACGAGTCTTGCGATTTTTGGGCATATAATTACGCCAATAACGCTTTTCTTGAAAAATTTTGAAACAGGCCAATCCGCTCTCTACCGGCACTGATTGACTCATTCCGGCATCAGAGTTCTGAAACCTGGTTCACAAATTCTACAGTTTCAGTATAAGCCAGTATCAAAAAAAATTTAGGCGAAAACGTGTGACGTTGAAACTTCTGCCAAACTTGCTGTCAATCCCTGACGCTATGATGATAAACAAATTATGCACGTGCTTGGGCTGCGTCAGCCGTAAACTGGCCAAAAAAAATTTAGCCGTTAGCTGTAAAAATTGACAAATTTTAACCATTCTTTGCAAAAATGGTTAGCCGTTAAAATTTGTCTTTTAATCGTAAAGGACGGAAATTAACTGTGAGCCGGAAAATGACCAACCGTTAGGCGTGAGAACCATCACTTCCGTACCTACGGCATTGGGACCCTACAATAAAGAGTCCATACTTGAGGTCCCACGAGATCATGCAACCCTTTTACAAAAAAAAAAAGCATTTTGTCTTGCATCAAAAAGAAGAAAAAGTTATAATAAATCTATGTTCTATCCGCTCTGATCCCAACCGTAAACGATTCCAAATAAAGTGAGCCAATGTACAGTATTCCAATATTTCCAAACTTAAGTTAAAGAAAGTTACTACCTGTAATGGCTGAGCAAGAAGTGAAATAACAAACAACAACTCGTGACCATGTTGATCACGTTTAGAGAGAAAGGATGTTGCCTTCTTAATGGCACACCGTAAATTGCAAAGTACCAACTAACGTGCGAAGTGGAAAATCAGAGAAACTTTGACTGTAATCAGTGATGCAGACAAAATGTGAAATATGCAGTACAGAAGCCACTTTCCGGTTGCTTCGCTAACTGGTAGCCTAACACTAAAAAAAAAAATGATTTCAAACAGCAAAGGAACAGCTTGTTCCTGCTGAAAAAATTTGGAAGTAATTACTTGCTCATGTCGCGATCATCGATAGAGGTAAGGTTGCAATTTTTTAGGCACGAAGACGTTGACGTATTTGTTTGTTGTTTTGATTGAATGCAGTAAAGATCTTGGAGAGAGAAAGTTCACGTGCTCTAATCAGGAGACCAGTGTTTTTTTCGAAGCTTTACTCGAAACTTGAGACGATATGCACAAAACTTAATTCAGGTGCTGATATCCACCCTTTTCGGACATAAATTATTGCCGAGAAATTATTGTGTGAAAAACGGAAATGGAATTTTAGCTCGAAGGGAAATAGTAAAATTCTTATTTATATGGCGTGAGTTAGGTTATCACATGAACTAATGTCGCTCATGTCCTCAATATTGTTACTTACAAGTAGAGCACAAGCCAAGAAACACAGATAGTTCTTTATGAAAGACAGCACTGCGACATCAACTCTCTTGTAATCTTTCAGAGTTGTGAATTATAACAGCATTCATGTTTCAATTAAGTTTGATAAGTGTTTCATCCTAACGTTTGTTGTTAAATCCACTCCGTTAACGATGAAAAAGAGCTAATTCTCCGTTCGATGTTGAAATTGTACATACTTACCAAGTCAGCTTCAAAGGCTCTCGTATTTACAATGATATCATCGAATGCAAGCACACCTACGTTAACATTCGAACCCATCAAAAATTTAGGATCAGTAATTTGCGTACCGACACGTGGCGCGCCGTTAAATTAATTCTTTGCATTACTAACCTGTTTGCATCGCACCAAGTTTTAACTCATCGAGCAGGTTAACATACAGAACACCGAATGAGTTGTGAATTCCGAATACCACAAAACTTACGATGAAAGTCCCACAGCAGACTATCCAGCCATAGCCGCCGTCTCGACTTATCGATTTCGTTGTAAGTCCATTATCGGATCGGTTTTCGCCTTTCATTTCTCGACCACAGAAAATTGATTTACAACCGAACCTAGCGTGCGAAACTCTTTTTGCTTTTGTGCTTATCAAGATACGAATAACAAACCAGCCAGACACTTTTGGACAGATGTTCGGAAAGAACTCGAAGGCTCTACTTTGTTTACCAACTGTACGCGCCAACTACGGATTAAACCTGTCGTTACTT